AAATAAGAAATTGAAGAAAAAAGAAAATGGGGGCATAAGTTTNTTGTTACTTTTCTTGACGTGTCTTCATCTTAATAGTTGGGCTTAGGAAAATTCTTCACCTCCCTCCCTCTGCAAAAATGCAACTCAGTAAAAGACAATTAATTATTAAACGTGACTTGCGCCATTGGGCCAAGCAGCTGTGACATGCGTGTATATATTCATAAGAATATTAATTGTTGGATTTTACATATGCACAGGGTCATGACTAACAGAAGAGTCTCATAATGCAATTTTTTATATGAATACTTATTGCAATATGTAAAATTAAATACGTAACTTTTTTTTTTCAAAACATAGAATATTAAATAATTATATGATATATGTTTAAATGTTTTGGATTATTAATTATGTATATATTATTGATATTATTTGTATGTATATTTTTGTTGTTATACGTGCAAATTAAAATATGCACTATTATTATTTTATTTGTATATTATGAAATTTATGTAAATATTTATATATTATTAATGTTTTAGTAGTAATATAATTTTAATAAATTAAAGAGTAATCACAACATATTTAATTAGTTAAAAATATATATAAAGTCTTATTAGAGGAGAAACATTAATTGTAAATAATTGTATCTAGTATGATAAGATCTACTCACATAAATTTTATCATATTTATATAATTAATTAGGATAAAATATTAAATTATATTTCTTAATTTACCTATAGTAATTAAGAAAATGAACATAATTTGATAGTTTTATCATTAAGATAATGAATCTAATTGAGTAAGACTTTAGTCCACATGCAGGTTTTATGTCACTAGATTCATGAATTAAAAGCATGTTTGTATTGGTAAAATATGACATTTAATTTTGTCTCAATATTTTATGATAAACATGTATTTTTAAACTTTGTAGTTTTTCAACCTATGAATATTTCTGATATTAAATGTGGTATTCCCGAGTTAAAGGGTGGTAATTATAAAATTTGGAAGGAAATAATTCTTTTTCAATTTGGAATGGATGGACATTGAATATCCTATTAGGAAGGAAGAACCACCTATTATTATCGAGACCAACACTCTATACGAAGTTAAACTTTATGAAAAATGGGAGAGGTTTAATCGTCTTTATGTGATTTTCATAAAGACCAACATTTTTGCTAGTATACGAGGTTATATTGATCAGCATAACAAAGTCAAGGTTTTATTAAAAGCTATTGATGAACAATTTACAACATGTGATAAATCCCTTGCCAACATCCTTATAATGCAATTTTCATCCATGAAGCTCATTGGGATTAGAGAATTGTGTGATCATATCATGAACATAAGGGATATAATGGCTCAATTGAAAGCTTTGGAGGTCACCATGTCGGATTCTTTCATAGTACATTATATTTTGTGCACATTGCCACAATAGTATGCACGCTTTAAGATCTCTTATAATACACAAAAGGATAAGTGGTCTATTAATAAATTGTTGACCATGTATGTTCAAGAATAAGAAAGGTTATTGTTGGAAGTAGGGGAAAAGGTGAACTTAACTACTTCTGGAAAGAATAATAAGAGTCAAGATAAACACAAAGGGAAGATTCATGCTAAGCCAGACATAAAGAAGGAGCCGAAGTTCACCTTTTCCCCTTCTTCCAATAATAACATTTCCTCTTCTTGAACACACATGGTCAACAATTCATTAATAGACCATTTATCCTTATGTGTATTATAAGTGATCTTAAAAGGGCATAATGTTGAGGCAAGGTGCACAAAATATAATGTACTATGAAAGAATCTAACATGGTGACCTCCAAGGCTTTTAGTTGAGCCACTATATCCCTTATGCACATGATATGATCATGCACTCCTCTAATCCCAATGAGCATTATGGATGAAAATTGCATTATAAGGGTGTTGGCAAGGGATTTATCAGATGTTGTAAATTGTTCATCCATAGCCTTTAATAAATCCTTGACTTTGTTATGCTTATCAATAGAACCTCGTACACCAACAGAAATGTTGGTCTTTATGAAAGTCACAAAAAGACGATTAGATATCTCCTATTTTTCATAAAGTTTAACTTCATTTGGAGTGTTGGTCTCAGTAATAACAAGTGGTTCTTCCTTCGTAATAGCATAGTCAATGTCCATCCATCCCAAATGAAGAAAAATTCTCTCATTCCAAATTTTATAGTTACCACCACCCTTTAACTCGGGAATACCACATTTAATATAAAAAATATTCATGGGTTGAAAAACTGCAAAGTTCAAAAATACATGTGTATCATATAATATGGAGGCAAAATTAAATGTCATGTTTTAGTAATGCAAATGTGTTTTTAATTCATGAATCTAATGACATAAAATATCTCTGTGGACTAAAGTCCTACTCAATTAGATTCATTATCTTAATGATAAAACTATCAAATTATGTTCATTTTTCTTAATTCTTGTGGATAAACTAAAAAATATAATTTAATATTGTATAAAGAGAATGTGTTACTTTCAGTTTTGATCACTAAACATACTCCTCTGTTTAGAAAACACAATATCAAGTTTTGAGTGAGTCAATGTTTAGAAAAACAAAGTTGTGTTTGAATTTTAAAGTAAGAAGTACGCTCTTTATTATTTTTTTTTTGTTTCCCCTGTATTGATGTTGATCTGGATATGTTATTATAATGTTTATATATCATGTTTAGGTTAATTTTTACACTGTTATTTTATCATATATTGCTGTAACAGAGGGTAGAGTAAACACAAGAGTAAACGCTATATGTCTTTCTCTAATCACTTCCTCTGCCATAGTTTTTCTCATATATGCAAATGGTGTTACCTACCATGATTCCGTACACTCTGCATCTAACACAGAAGCTCGAGAGAAGTTGGAATTTCACAATAACGGAACAACAAAAACAACAAGCTCAACACTTGTTCACATAAATTTTCGTTTCATTCAAGAAAAGAAGGATGAAGCTGAGAGGCGCAACCACTATACTCCAGTTGCCCCATTGAATGCTACAGAAGAAGAAAGAAAAGCATGGTTTCGAGAACAGCTGCATCACTTCAAGATCCTCAAGTCAAACAACTTGACCCAACCGTTTCATGCTCGAGTTTTGGGATTTTTCGGACGCGAATGCGAGGCCCAGTTTTTCATGACAAGGATTTCACCTGCAAGTTTGTTTGGAAGGAGAGAATTACTGTCAATGGAAAGTATTTTCAGGAGCCATCCAAAAAGGCATGTCTGGTAATTCTATCGAGAACTCTGGACACCAGACACGGCTACAAGATCATGAAACCGCTGCATGATCGTGAGTTCAAAGTGCAAGCAATGGCCCCATACTTTTCATTTTTGGTCAAGAGGACTCCAGCTGAAACTTGGATTCATGAGCTAAAGGGTAAAAAGGATCCTGGTGAGATTCCCTTACCTCAGAATCTATCTAGTCTGATAGACTTGCAATTCTCTATAAATATGGTGGTATCTACATAGATACAGACTTTATAATTATGAAACCCCTAACAGGGTTAAGGAATTCTGTTGGTGCACAGAGCACGAGTTTGGGTTCTAAGCACTGGACCAGATTAAATAATGCAGTTCTGATTTTTTTATGAGACATCCTCTTCTGCATAGATTCATCAATGAATTTGCTCTGACTTTTGATGGAAACAAATGTGGGGCATAACGGTCCCTACCTTGTTTCAAGAGTAATTAAGAGGCTGAGGAAAAGACGCGATTTCAAGTTTACAATTTTTCCTCCAAAGGCCTTTTATCCAGTAGACTGGAACAAGATAACTGGGTTCTTTACAAAACCAAAAAATCAGAGTGAATCAAGATGGGTAGAAGCTAAACTGCTTCAGCTCAGTGGGAAGAAGACTTATGGATTCATCTATGGAACAAACGTAGTATCAGATTGACAATTGAAGGAAGCTTCATTGATAGAGTTGTATCAAATTATTGTGTCATCTGCAACCATAAATAAATACCTTTCTTAGGTACACAGTTAACCTGTTACAGACCAAGACTATCAAGTGAAGAGATTTTCTAAAAACACATACCAGTAGGTAGCACCTGTATGAATATAGATTTTCCACATATTTGACTAAATAAATCCTGGCAATCTCCTGAAATCTTTTTTCTATTCAATTTGGCTAACTGTTATTTTAACAATCTAAATGACAAAATTTCCAGCCATATATATCTGAACTTCGAGGCATACCCGCTTTCTCTATCATTTCTTGACAATGGGTTGAATCTGCTTGATAACTGCCAAGGATCCGGGAATTCATGTTCTGAATCATAATGCCACTGAGATATGAGATTAATTATTATAGTCGATCCAGTATAACACTCAATGGTTTGCCAAGCTAGAATGCTCCATGTCAATTAATCTCATAAGCGATATGTTTACTCTTTAAATCAATAGAAACAAAATTTTGATTCCATACACTGAGGAGAATGATTCAAAAGAAGCAGATGAAGATAACAAGCAAGAAGACATACAACCTTGTGGTGCTTTAGTCTGCTTGATCTGTTCCTTTGATCTTCAGAAGCAACAAACCATTAGATTTAATACGACATGTCCAAAGTATTCCATGTATAACGAAAATAAAACGGAAAAGTTTCCTTAAACCTTTTACTAGTAAGAATATCTAGCACAGCGAATAACAGTAAGAAGAGCAACACCACTAAAACCAATGAAGATGAATCTGCCTTTCTTTTGAAGCTAATATACAAAAACACTATCAAGCATATGAACTGGGTTGATCAAAACCGGTGTGCATTCTTGTGGCAAGGCTGAATCTAGTGAAACACAACTTTTCCCATAGTGCTTCCCTTTTCCCATCTCTCATTATGCTAACATCGAATACTTTTCTTTAACGTTGCCAGAAACCATTACTTAGTCATCAATGAAAGGATATAAACAATCCAGTGAAGCACAAATCCTAAGAAAAGAATAACCCTTTATTTTTATTTTTTTAAATAACTATTTACAAGTCTTTCCAATCCCCATGTCCAAAACTCTAAAGCAAGGTCATTCATTAAATAGTGCAGAAAAACGAGAGAAATAAAAGAGTTACGTCAAGGATATGAATACAAAAACTGATGTAACATTACCCAAATCCAAACTGTGTATGTCACAATGGAATCAGATATCAACAACTAAACCATGAATGTCCCAAAAATTACAATTCCCCAATAAAATCAGCCAGAAAAGAGGGACTCGTCAATTTCAATCTTCACCACCTCATTATCTTCGAACCTGTCTTTCTTGGAAGGTACCGGTGGAGCATAAATCCTCGGTGGCCCTCTACCCTTCTTCTTGTCCTTTGGCCTTGCCTAATAATAAGCCCCCAATCCCATTCACAATATTAGAACCACGAAATGCTTAACATTAAAACCAAAATCTAAATAAGAAATTGAAGAAAAAAGAAAATGGGGGCATAAGTTTACATTTCCAAACGAATGGGCGAAGCGCTTTCCCTTTGCAGTTTTCCTGTCTCCTCTGCCACAGTACACTGGGAGATAACAAAAGACATAAAATTGGGAAATGGGGTGTTAGAATTCGTCCATAATTAAGAAAAGTCGTTAAGAAAACGGATTCAGTGTTGCAGAAGGTACCAGAAGGGGTTGGGGAGAGCGTGGAGGTTGCAGAGGCTGAGAGGGAAGGGAAGGGCGTGGAGAGTGGTGAGAAGAGAGTTTGGGAGTGAGAGAATGAAAGGTGAGAGGTGGAAGTGTGCAATTGAGTGGAGAGTGGAGGAGGTGATGCTAGGAGCAGTGACGCCATGATGGCTTCGGATAACTCAAGGGATAAGGTTAGACAAGGAGGAAAATGGTGCACTGCACAGGGTAGCTTGTATCGTGTAATCGGAAGTAGTTTTGTTAATAAATTTGAAAGAGGGAATATGGAAATAAAAAGGGTGAGGGGTGTTAAATTATAATGGAATTGATTATTGACATAATTAATTATTTTCTATATATTCTTCTGCAATTAATTATCTAAAAAATATTATACAGTTAATTATTATCTTATATTTTTAAATTAATTAATATTTTAATTAATTTATTGTCATTTTTTATGGTTAAATAAAGTACGTTATAAATTAAAAATAAGAATTTTATAAATAAATTTAATAAAAATATATTTTAATTAAATATTATTATATTTAATTATTTTTATTTTTTTTACCTTTTATATAAAAGAAAAAGTTAACTAATTACTTGATTAAATTTTATTAAAGTTTTTATCTTTAAAGTACATCCTCAATTAATAAAAAAACTTATTCAATCACATCAAAGTTTCTAAAATAAAATTAATCAAAATAGATTTTCAATTAAAATTAAAAACCTTTAGACTTTTATGATGAATATGTTATGTAGATTTAATACCATACTACTTTGCTACAATGTAAAAATCATTATTTTCACTTTATTAAAAGATAAAAGACATATATAAAAATAAATGAGAATAATAATTAAATGAACAAACAAATTTATTCATCTAACCTTAGAATCTAGTTAAGAAATTATAGTAGAATCAACGCCTAAAACTTAACACTCCTTGAAATGCAAAAATAACAAAAATAGAAGAAGAGAGGGTTAAGGACGTGAAAGATGGTGAAGAGGATGAAATTAGGTCTCCAAAAACGTTTTTAAGCTCTCCTAATATGTTTTCCTAAGTCTCTTTATATATAAAAAAATGAATTAGGCTTTGTTGTAGGCTTTTCTGTTGTTGTAATTTTCTTTTTGATTATGTAATATCTTTCAATTATATTTTAAATAATCTAATATCTTGAAGATAAATTTGATTAGTGTGGAGATCTAAAAATATTTGAGAAGATCCTGGCTAGATTCAAAAAGATTTGACAAATATTATCTTTTGATATTTACTAATATAGTTAAATAAGGTAATTATTTAAAATATCTAAAGATATATTTCCTTAAATTATCTTTTATCATAAACATTTATCATCAAAGCTCTTTTTGTGGAAAAAATAGAGAAAACCTCACGGTCCAATTTCTGTTATTCGTTCCTATTCTTGGCTTAGCCAAATTTCATCTCTTTTTAAATATTTTTTCCCTTCTTTATGCAATGCTTAGCTTGAGTTCTTGTAATTTTGATTATTTTGTATTCTTGGATTTATCCTTAAGATGTCATAAAATTTTAACCAATTTATTTCTATACCTTCATGAGCTCAATTTAGCTGCAACTACATTAACACACCTTAAATATCCAAAGAACATTTCTGCAATTAAAAAACTATTTTTAACATGTATTTTTTTCACATGTTTAATAAATCAACTATAACAAATCCTAATTAAAATATTCTTTTAAAGTAAAAAATTCAATTAAGAATCCAAGATTAAAGGCTAAACAAAGGCATTAATATGTATTTATCAATGATAAACATAAGAGACCAACTTTTATAGCTACATATAACAAATCAAAGATCTCATCGATCAAACTAACAATTCATGTGTCTCGGACCTACTATCAAAATTTTAGTTCAATCTAACAGTTAACGAAGCCAGAATCCTATTTTTCCCTAATGACCTATAATAGAAACAAGATGGCACCCATCACTAGAAACCCCCTAAAATCCACTTATTTGAGTGTGCCCGATGATTCAAAAGTAGCGCCTAATGTACCCAAGTTAGTGGCCACTGTCTCGGTGGCGCTACAACATTACCTAATGGTGTATCAGTACTCAATGAAGTACAAAGAAAAACACTAGAGGAAGGGGGGTGAATATTATTTTTAAAATATTTTTTTCCAAAAAGCGTATAATTGTTTGTAATAAGACTATATAGAAATGAAATATGTTTAGACGCTGGATATGTAAGATAAGTAACTAAATATGCTTTGAGATGATGTTATAGGAAATTTAACAATGGTTTTAAAATAAGAAAACATTAAGGCACAATTTTTATATTGGTTCACTCAAACTTGAGTTACGTCCAGTTCTCCCTAAGAAATCTTAAGGGGTTCCATTAATCTTGTCAAGATCACACGGGTATAACCCACTCCTAGTTGAATATTCTTACACCATTCTTGGTTCCGAGTATAACCCACTCCTGTTTGTGTATTATATGTCACTCTTGACACCCCTAAACAATATGTCTAGTCCAAGTTTAGCCTCTCTAGGATCTATCCCTAGACAACTGTCTATATCTAATTAACCCACTCCTGTTTAAGTATTATTCGCTAGTCCTAGCACCCAAGTATAACCCATTCCTGGTTGAGTATTATCTGTCCCTCCTTGCACTCTAGTATAACACATTCCTAGTTGAGTATTATCTACTACTCCTAGAACCCCTAATCTATCTTGACTACTTGTAAGTGTTTTAATTCTCTAAAATATACAATAGATCTATTATAGGATTCTTACAAGAAATAAATTAACAACTCTCAATGAGAGAATACATATTTAGTATAATACAATATGAAATCTTGGTTACTTACAGACTTGAGTAATTCTCTAAGAGAGGATAAAGGTATTGAGGCATAGTCTGATAACTGATGGTTGTTCCTTTGAGCTTGGAAGGCATCAAATGGTGTATTCTTAAAGCATAATGGTGTGGCCATATTTCTGATGCTTGCATATTTCTTCTTTTCTTCTCTCTTTTTCAGCTTTTACTTTTTTCTTCATTTCAAGAACTTTAGATGTTGTAGGTATGAAAGTGTAGTAGATAATGAGATCTGATGATAACTTCTTCTTAATAACTTTTCTTGCTCAAGCTTGCTTTCATAATTTTCTTTTTAGTTGAAGATCATCAAACGATGTAAGAGTTAAGATAGATAATGGCTTGCATATTTCTTCTTTTCTTCTCTCTTTTTCAGCTTTTACTTTTTTCTTCATTTCAAGAACTTTAGATGTTGTAGGTATGGAAGTGTAGTAGATAGTGAGAACCGATGATAACTTCTTCTTAATATCTTTTCTTGCTCAAGCTTGCTTTCATCATTTTCTTTTTAGTTGAAGATCATCAAACGATGTAAGAGTTAAGATAGATAAGAATTGAAATGTTATGATCTCTTTTGTGTGTGTTCTTTATCTTTCTTTCTCATCTATTGTTTCTTTTCCTTTCTTCTTCAACTTTTCATGTCTTCATCATATCTTTGATTTGAAGAGCATCATACTATATATACATTGAGGTGAAGTAAAGTAGATCATTCTTGAATGTATTTCTTCATTTACTCTCTCTTTTTTCACCTTTTATCTCTTTTTCCTTTTTCTCAAAACTTCTTTTTTTTGTCTTGGATTGTTCTTCTTTATATATTACTTTGTGAGATCACCACCAGTAGTCACAAACTAGAATAGAAAATCAAAACCAACCATCTCCCCTTCTCCCTCTCCTGCGAGCCATCGAGGGAAACACTACCAGCTCGCCATGAATGAGATGCAACAGAGGCCATCGCGACTCTCAAAACCATCACTACCAAAGAGATACACTGCGAGCCAAATGCACTTCGACTCTTGAAAATGCAACTCACCGTGACGGAGAACATTCTCTCCTCCACCACAAACAACGAACCATATTGCATGCCAAAGAGACACCGCGAGCTCAACATTGGTCAACCATTGCGACAAGGGCACCTCTACTGCAAAAGCGCCATTGTTGTGCGCAAAATTGCTTAGGAAAAAGAAGCCTCCACTACCATCGCTGATGATTGGATTGACATGAACTCTAATAAGTTTTTCCCTAAATTTTTATCAGAGTTTGTAATGAAAGATTTAGTTAGATTTAAGATGGACTACCTCTTTCGTTTGTAATGTGTTGATTTTTCTCAGTTGGGAAAGCTAAAAGAAAAAAAGAAGAAGGAGGAGGAGAAAGAATATGAACTAGATCACGATATTTACAAATGAATTTTTATTTCGGGAATTACCGACTATACTATTAACGACAAATTTTAGCCAGTTAAAATTCATCTGAAAAAAATTGTTATTGATGAATTTTTTATATTTCCAACAGATTTTGATTGTTGATAATATATGTTTTTCTTATAGTAAGCATAGTATTACAATATGAAACTACATCTAATCTAGCCTTCCATCACTCAAAGAGTAAGATATATCATTTACTCTGTATAGGAATTACTTGTAATTTTTTTCCATTGTTTTTTTAGTTGTGATTTCTTCACTACGATGGTTAAAAATGTTTGTTTATGATAAGAGTTTGTTAAGCATTGGCTGGTGTTGTCGACACAGTCAACATGGATTCCCAAGTTGATAGTGGAATTCCATGTAACGCAGACTGGGGGCCACTCCGGGGTGTACCGAACGTACAGGCGCATAGCCCAGTCCTTGTATTGGATCGGAATGAAGAAAGACGTGACGGAATTCGTGGCCAGATGTGTTGTGTGCACACAAATATCTCTCTTCTTCTCCTCAGGGGCTGTTGCAGCCGTTGCCAATTCCTAATGCAGTATGGGAGGAATTAAGCATGGATTTCATAGTGTGACTACCAAAATCGCAGGGGCACGATGCTATATTGGTGGTAGTGGACCGCTTGAGTAAGTACGCTCATTTCCTATGCCTTAAGCATCCATACTCAGCCATGACTGTTGCGGAAGTATTCATCAGGGAAGTCATTTGGTTGAATGGGATTCCCCAATCCATAGTGAGTGATCGGGATCCATTATTCCTGAGCATTTTCTGGAGGGAGTTGTTCAAGGGTCAAGGGACGAAGCTGAATATGAGTACCGCTTACTACCCCGAAACAGACGGGCAAACAAAGGTCTTGAATCGGGTATTGGAAGGGTATTTAAGATGCTTTTGTTCGGAGCAACCAAAAGGGTGGACGACAGTCTTGCCTTGGGTGGAATACTGGTATAATACCAGTTATCAGGGAGCTATACGGTGCACTCCTTTTGAGACAGTTTATGGGAGACCACCCCCCTCTTTGCACAGATTCATTCCAGGCGAAACACTGGTAGAGGTCATAAGTCAAGAGCTTCAGACATGAGATGAAGCCTTGAAATAATTGAGGTTCCATTTGGAGAGAGCACAAAAAGTGATGGTGCGTTAGGCAAATAAAAGAAGAAAACCAGCAAATGTTGAAGGTTGAGATTGGGTATATTTGAAGATAAGACTCCATAGGCAGTCTTCAATGCCAACTAGACTTCATTCAAAATTGGCGGCTATATATTTTGGACCATATCAGATCATTCAGAAGGTTGGGGAGGTGGCCTACAAGCTACAGCTGCCGGAGACCGCAAGGATACATCCCGTCTTCCACGTGTCACAGTTAAAAAAGGCTATAGGCGCACAAGGAGTGGAGAGGGAACTACCGCAGGATCTGCAAGTGGAAGGGCCATCGTTTTGGCCAATGGGCGTGCTAGGCAAAAGGCAGACGCAACAAGGAGGAGAGGAAGTGCCATATCTGCTTATAGAGTGGCAAGAGGGAGGCCCAGATGGGGCAACCTGGGAGGACGAAGTGACCATCAGGGAACAATACCCCGACTTCAACCTTGGAGACAAGGTTGGACTTCAGGAGGAGGGTATTGATAAGCATAATAAGCAGAGGTAGATTGTATATGAGAGAAGGAATAAGAGAGCGAGTTAGCTGTCATCATTTAACTGTTCGACAGTTAAGGGGGAGGGATGAGGTAGTTATAAATAAAGGGTTGGTTAGTGGGAGAGGGACTTTTGGAGAGTTAGTTGTTGACAGATATTGACTTGTGAAGAGGGTTAAGCCTCTGTACAAACATTGGTTATGTGAATATCATTCTATATTCTTTCTTGTGTGAGGAAGAACATTCTTCATTAGGTTCCCAATTTAGGAACCTATCAGAGAGAACCTGTGATTGTTAACAAGAAAAAAGCCAAAGCTGTAACTTCCAAAACAAAAACCAAGATTTGGATTTATTCATTTGGTTAAAGCCAAGATTCCACTTTTCACTTGATTTCACGTGTACAAGATAGCCGAAATTACAAAACACTGATCAGTTTTTTTGTCGGGATGAATAATAGGTCTGCATAATTGTGAGAACAAGGAGTACAACCGCTGCTAACACTCCTATAAATTTCCACACTGTGGGGATATGATCACGTATCAAAATTCTGTACCAGTTTCTGCAGTAGTAAACTACAACCTCATAAACCCCTCTGCATCCATGCCAAGTGACAATAGGAACTTTTTGCAATGCAGTTCTGACTTTCTTCCCCTGGAACTTGTTCAATCTATCACAAATATCCTCATAGCTCGAATCCATGTACTCTGCTCCCTTAGAAATCGTGGTAAACAAATCCAACAACTCATCCTTGCTCTTCCCAGCCATATTATTTATTACCCCTTTCTCCTCTAGCAGCTCAATGTCATGCTTACAACAAACCAACCCCTGGAAGAACAATGCATATGAAGTGTACTTACATCTGATCCAAATTCTGCTCTGCTCCCACGCAATCAAATTCCTCCACCTCACTTCTGTTGTTTCCTTCACGCACAGCTGTGGAATTCTTAGCACACTGCCACTAACACTAATGTCAAAGTTGAACCAATCAACCAATTCACGGCTATGAGTGGTGTCAGCAGCCTCAATTGTTATTCCAGCAGCGTGAAGCCTTGTGGCGCATCTCAGAAGCTCCTGCTTCACGCGTTTACCCTCTTGCTGAGTCTGTTCCACTGTGGACAAGTGCATCAAGTGAAGAATGTGGACTCCGCCAGAGTTATTCACCTCAGGGTAACCAAAAGCCCTGAGAACAATATTAGCAACACGGTGATCACTGTTGATGTCACTGCGATCAGGAAAAACCTTCCTAAACAACTTCTTGAGCACAATGAAGGGAACTTGGTTCTCAAGCATTGTGATATCGTTAATAACAGACACCATCTTTTCATGGTTTTGTAATATAGGGTCATTTTGGTTGCGGCTATTATCACCTAGTCTCATAAGGAGCTCCAACAAAAAACACCCATCTACTATCATTATCTTAGCTAACTCGTGCGGTTCTGATTCGATGTTACCTCCGTAGCTTGCGATGATTAGTTTGTCCAATTTGAGGATGTCTGTGCCGCAGTCTCTGAGTCTTTGTTCTGATCTTCTGTTTTGTTCTTCCGTTCCTCTTCTGTCAAGAAACTCGCGCATGTAACGCCACTTGGTCTCTTCCATTAGTTGGAGGTGTCTGGTGATTCCTCTGTGTAAGGGTCCTATGGAGACCTCTTTTGGCTTGAAAGCTGCTTCGTTTGGGCCTCGAAGCTCCTCTGTGACGCTTGAGATGCTGCAAGCTTGGACTTGACCATGGAAGAGGGAACCAAGCATCACTTCGATGGGAACCATCCAACTGAAGTCCTGTTGTGCCATGTTGAATTGAAGTGAGAGAATGGGAAAACTTTGAGCTACTGAGAGGGAGAAAGAACTGGTCAAGGAAATAATTGCAGAAATGATGATATGTAGTTGAGCTTTATGGATGTGATGGTGAAAACTCTAAGAAAATGATGACAAAAAAATTCGAACTTTCTCTGCTACTTCTTAGCAGAGTTGGGGAAATGGTAGGTATGTCTTTTAGTGGATACCACTTTCGGTCTGCTCCATGTACGAAGACTTTGGTTGGTATTCAAGTCAACTATTTTTAGTTAAGGTGTCTAGTAGTATTTAAATATTTTTATTATTTTAAGATTGAAAAAGACTTTTCAACTCTTATATTCTTCTTTGAAAAAATCTCTATAATATCTTTGACTTCAACGGAGAAAATGAAGACAGCGAGTCTCCGGTGACGGCTCACGGCGGAGGAGAGTGAAGTACTTAATTATTTTGGTTATGTTTTTCTTGTTTTCCGTCTAAGTATTCGTTTAACTCTCTTTCTATTTTTCATAATATTTGCTATTTTATTATTTCATTACATTTTTTTAAATCGCAATCTTGTTAAAGATTATGACAATAAACTATGATTAAGCTATTCGTCTCATGTTCACATGTAACATCATTAAATAAATAAAAAAGTTCGAGACAGACAAATATCACTCAACAAATAATATGAACAAATATTGGTGATTTTGTAATATGTTGAATTTTTTTTTTTTAAGAAATTTTGTCCATTTTAAGTAAAACTAAAATAATAATGATTTCATAAATTAAAATTCTTTAGTTTTGTATATCACATGGTTTTGAGACGAGTTAGTGGATGAGAAACCATGATTTCTACTTTAACTCTCAGGAGAATCGTTCTATGTTATTTTTGAAAAGTAATTTAAGAAAGGGTGAGTGAATGACCTTGAGAAAGAATAGAAGATAAAATAATGTTGTTTTCTTAAGAGATTTGAAAGTGAAAATTGAAAGATTAGTAAATTTTGTTATAACAATCTATGATAGTTATAACAATCAAGAGCAAGATGAGTAAAATTTTGTTACAAGAGAGAATTTAGGTAGATAAGCATACTAATTTATCAATATCATAAGGAGATTTTGCATAAACA